AGTATCACGAATAGACGTCAAATATTTTTCTGGTTGCGATTTTCTAACTTCGGCTATGCATAATGTATGCTTTATGCATGCGCGTGTTGAAAGAAATGTTTAATAAAGTAAACAAATAAATATTAAGCCTTTTTTTTGTAAATTTTGATACCATTTAGATCATAATTGTTCTTTATTTCATAAGTTATGGATTCATATTTTTAATTTTATAATTTCTGCATGCCATCTTACCAGATTTAAACTGATAATCTATAATCCGGAAGTCCTGACGAGTTCGGATTAAAGACTTTTGACTGTATATAAAGAGAAAAAAACTTCTATAAAAAGATATGAATTCAAAATTTATAAATTAAAAATATTTAATGGATTATGCATATAACAGCGCATAGTGCATTTTAAAACAAATGAGATTTCTAATAAATTATAGAGCTATGACACTGAAAAAAACATGCTAAAATTTTATATGCTATCTGTTTTCTCCCGAAATATGGGCATATTTTGAAAATATGCAGTCTCATTTGGCCGAGAGCCGTCTACAAGCATCGCAGATTTTGTGTAAATATTGTGAACCTTTCTTTACTCTTGCTCTGTATTTTTAAAGTACCAGCTATTTTTAAATGTGTTTAACTTTTTTTTATTTGTTTTGCAGTAACAGTACATTTTAGTCTTGATTACATATTATTTCGTTAATATTTAAGGCTTCTAGAAACACAAAGAAATTTTTAAAAATTCCTTCAGCTTCTATGCAATTAGAGATGTTCATAATTTACATTATTACCTTACTTATCTAAAAATTGCTAACGTGCTTTACTTTCACAATTCATAAGCAGAAATAAAATTTTCCAATAACATCGAATTTATTGTAAGTGTCTGAATCCTGTTAAGTTAAATACAGAGACATCTGGTGGCAATAAACGCGATCGACCACTGAACTTCCGCACGCGTAAATCCAACGCAATAGTGTAAATGGTCATCTGTCTGCATATGCGTTTCTCCCAATGACGCTATGTGCTAGCAATGCAATAATGGAAACGGGGCTTAACTGTACTATGGGCATAGTTCTGTGATCTCTTCAGTTTTATTAGCATGTATTGGACACAATAATATCGAGTTATATTTAAATTCACTAGGAGCTCTATTAAAAAGAACGGACGAAAGTCTTAAAAAAGGGGGAGAATGCTTTTGAGCCTCGAATATGCCACCAAGATTGCCAGCATAATTGCCGATTTTTGGAAGACGGATAAATACAAACAAGTCTCCTCTAAGCCACTCGGAGTGTTAATGGTTCAAATCTACATTGATTGCACAATCTATTCAAAGTGATTGTACAATCTTAATTGCAACCCCAGATGGAGGCAAACAATCTATATAATTGTGTACCTTTGCCTATGTATAATACTTCTTTTTCATAAAATCATATAAGGAGATGGTTGGCAGTATTGATACCCTTCATTCACAGTCTTTTTATGTAATTTTCTTTCATGATGTTTCTTGAGTATCAGAGTGTTTAATCAGTGAAGTAGTCTTACCAATGAAATTTGGATTATAAGCTCCCTCAGTGTCAGCGTTTCAGTATGAATAGAAAAATTACTAACTAGTTAATCTAATCACAGCCAGCAAAGAAGGTGAAAACTGAATAACGACTCTGCTCAAATGACACAACTACAGTACTATGCAATACAGACCCTGTTGAGAGTAAGTACACACTGCCCTCAGAGGTTAATGCTATATGTTGCAATTTTAATAACTAAGCTGAATTCTGCAATAAATAATAATGGGTAGTGGTTAAAAAAATGGATGTGGAGCTTGGGAAAAGTTGGTGCTTTAGAAATACTTTGTAAAATACAAGGTTTGAGCATTTTTGCACCAATTAATGAATGCTATTGGTAAATATAAATCAGATCAGATTCTTTCTTTCAAATCAAATTTCCAAACTTAAACAAAAAGCAAAACTACATTTAAAAAAAAATTGTATGCTGCAAAGCTTTCAAAATTAAACCACAAATACATTTAGAACAGCATAAAACAGGGGTGGCCAAAGTGTGGCTCGTGAGCCTGATATGGCTCTCGCAGGCAACTTGTGCGGCTCGTGCATATAAAATATATGTATAAAATATGGTAACCTAAAACTATTCAGTGTCCAAAAAGGAGAAATTAATTAGTTTAGACTATTTTTATAAAGTTATCAGGGATTTTTTTCTATTTAAAACCTCCTCCACTACTTCTACAATGATGTAAACTTGAGACTTTTAGAAAATCTAGATGCGGCTCTCAAACATTTCTCAATTCAAACGTGCGGCTCTTACTGACATGAAGTTTGGCCAACACTGGCATATAAAGTAGGTAGAATAATCCTTTTGTCATAGAAAATAATGTGCAAATTAGCATAAAATGGAATCAACTTGGACCACTCCTTACAGATATCTTAATAATTTATATTGTGCGTTTTAGAACGGAATTATAATAGTATAGCACAATGAGTGAATAATCCTTGCTTGCTATCTGCATATGAACTGCATTTCCAGAGACTAATGAAATTCCTAATTTGCTCCTCGATATAACAGAACTTGTTGATAATAGATGTTACTGCTGAAGGAATATTCAAGGTGTCTGATAGCTTGTTTAAGGGAACTGTTTTCAGGTTGATATTCTAGAAGACAATTTCTTGCAACTGCAACTGATGAAGCCACAGCCACACAGATGTAGTGAAATAAATGTTAATTTTCTAAAATTATTTTCATGCATTTTGCTAACCACAAATTAGAATTTCCTCCATCAGATACAATTAATAAATAAATATTCCCATTACTAGTAAATCATTTGAAATTGTTTACAAATAAATTGTATGCACTGTAGTACCAGTCCTACAAAAATGTAAGAAAATTACAAAAATCATGGTCAGGAGCTTGACAGCTGCAGGTTTATATGTGTTTCAGCTGTTTCAGAAAGCTTTTACATTTTGTTGCTTATTTCAGTAGTGGTAAGTAGAGGCAGAACTCAGGAAAACTTCTATGAAAGTCTAAAAAATCAAACGATTTCATTTTTGATCTTACCATGTCTTGTTATGTCTTTCAAAAAGTAGCAGAACTTAATATGGAAGAATTTCAAGCAAGTAATATCACAGCTCACTCTGCTCGCAGAAAAATAAGCAGTCAAATTAAATTATTTAATGAAAAGTCAAACACTGGACTTTACAAACTGAAAGGTCTCAAAACTAGAAAAGACAATATTCTTAAAAGCAGTTGACAAGGGAATAGGGCAAAACATCGAGACCAAAATCATATTGGTCCAATCAAATTTTAAGGCCATCTGAAAAACATGGATGGAAAGTTGACTTTAAGCAACAGAATTTGTTGACATGCTGCAATAGGCCAAGGGTTTGGGTCTGTAAAGCTTGCCAAAAAATTCACTTAACCATGGGCAAAATACGAGGGCCATCCAGGAAGTAGATTACGTTTCCGTCTGTGTCCGCTAGGGGCGGGGCTAGCGCGGCCATCTTGGGGTCAGAGCGTTGCGCAGCTCAGTCTGCATCTAGCCGTGCTAGTGAGAGGTTCGTGCTGTGCTCCGTTCAGATACTGTGACGGTTTGAAATGTCTGCGTTAATTGAAAATCCCGCGAGCTGCGCTCAGTAATAAGGTTTCTGACTGCAAAAAACCGTAAACCGATAGAAATCTATCGGCAGCTTCGTGAAGTGTATGGGGACAACATTATCACTGAAGGTGGAGTGCGTCAGTGGGTCATAAGATTTCAAAATGGCCGAACCAATGTTCACGACGAAGATCGAAGTGGGAGACCCAGCATAGTGACCGCCGAACTTCTCGAAAAAGTCGATGATAAAGTCCGTGAAAATCGAAATTTCACAATAACGGAACTTTCTTTGAGTTTTCCACAAATTTCGCGAAGTTTGTTGCACGAAATCATCAGCAAAAAGCTTGGTTACCACAAGTTTTGTGCAAGATGGAAGGCAAGCAAGAAGAGGTAACGAAGTGGTTGAAGGCGCAGGCGGCCGAATTTTTCGACGAAGGAATTTCCAAGCTCGTACATCGCTACGATAAATGCCTTAATTTGTATGGTGACTATGTAGAAAAGTAGTATTTGAGTGTGGCTTTCATCTGTATATAATAAAATTTGTTTCCTATACTTTGTTTATTTTTTTATTCCAAAACGTAATCTACTTTCTGGATAGCCCTCGTATATACAACTTGTGTGAAAGATTTGACTTCTCAATAGACAAATCCTACAAATTTTCAAGAATATCCCCTCCACCATTTTTTTTTTTTTTTTTTTTTAAATCTAATACCTCCCTTAAAATGCATTTAAGAAAATCCCAATTTTTCACAAAAAGGGAATCCCAATTTCTCAGGGAAAAATTTAATGACTTCAACAAGAGCTTCCTTGCATTTAACAGCACTGAAGCAAACTTCATGTTTATAAAATTGGTATGCTTTCCTTTCAGTTTACTTACGTATCTGTAAATTCATTGTTTTTGGAAAGGGCAGCATCTGGCAACGTGCACCACAAACAGAGCAAACAAGAAACACAACCTCAGATGATCTAGTTCTTGTGAGCTATATAATACGAAGAGTCCTAATGCATGGTAAAATTTTGTCATGAATGTATTTAGTTTTACAATTTGATCTATAAAACAGTGACTTTTTTTAAACAAACTTATAGTACCACTAAACATATTTTCAAGAAAAAAGCACTGCTTACACATAAGGTAATTTATGCTATTTTATTTCATTGCGGGAAAGCCCACACCATATACTTAAAACCAGCATCTTTATACAGATACACTGAAATTTAAGAATGCAAGAACTTTTGTTTCTACATATAAATTCTTTCTGTCCTTACAGCAGAATGTCTGCATTTCTGTGCAACATGCAATTCGAATACACAATATTTCGATCCAATGATGAAATCAGCTACTTTCTGAAGATAACCCAAAAATTTTGTTTTTTACATACACAAAATTAGTAAAAAAAATTAAAATTGCTCACTTCACACGATGATAAATTCCATAAAATTCCTGTGACTAGCTCTCTGATCTCATTATCAGGTGTTTTTCGCAGTAATCGCACTAGAGCTGGAATACCTTCAGCATTACGTATGGCTCTCTGTAAAATACATAAGAAGTATTACAGTATAGTAAATCATCAAGACCTTATAAATAATAGTGCTACAAGTTGATCTATAAGGTAGAAAACAGACGAGAACTCTTCATTACAAGGACTTCAAACACTTCCATAAAAGTACTTGCAAAAGAGAACTTTTTTCAATAAAACATATAAATATTACTCTTTAAGAATAAATTTTATAAAAACAATCTGTTCTTTAGAAGTAATGAAAGTGAGGAAGAATTTGATGCATGCAAAAAAAATTCCACATCCAACAAATTTTAATCACACTAAAAACCACTGATGATAAATTGAATATAATATGTGTGAGAACGATGCTTGTTTTGTGTTTTAATGTTCCAAGAACATGAAAGCAATTTTTATGCTTTAGTTATAATAGAGAAATTCAGATCTCTGCTAAAGCTACATACATGTATGAACTAACTGCGCTGCAAGAGATATCCGTTTGATCAACTGTCACTTCACCAAACCATAGCAGAGAAAAGAGTTGATAAAAAGTCTGGGTTTTCACCTTCTCTCACAGTGAACTTAAAATTACCAGACCATTTCAAAATTCAAAAAAAAAAGGGGGGGGGGAACTATATGGGAATGAAATTGATATCAAAATTCACACAATGAAATTTGGACCTTTTTCCAACATATAAGAAACAGAGAATTTTGTCCTCTGATAAAGCACACCAAATAAAGCATAAATATGCAATAAGATGAAGAAGCTACCTGCATACAGATATTTAGTTCTTTTATACTGATAATTCAATACAGATTTTTAATGAGTTACAAACTTAGTCTTAAAAAAGTGATATAATTTTTTGAGCCAATCGAAAGGACTAAGCTCAGTCACCAGACATGATGATTGGAGCAAGATGTTAGATAAATGAGAGCTTTCTCATCAGTTGGTTCTAAGCTTTTAACGAGCACATATCCCTTGTGAAGTGATAGGTATCCGAGCATCAGATAAAGGTCAAAATTCAGGCTGTCAAGCAGTGATATGTGACCAAGTTTCATGTTAACTTTAAAAATATGTGACTAAGATGCTCACTGTGATATAAAAAAAACCTACTTAATCAAAAGGCACAAAAGAAGGCAAAGATGTTTCGGGTGCCACAAAAGCATTCAAAGAACCAGCATCAATGTACAATGCTCTGGATACTGATCAGTCTTCCCTTTTGGACGATACTGATCAATTGCGACAGGTTTTGGAATCGGATTGAAATCTGATATTTAGATTGATGGCAGAACAAATAAGATATAAAAATTCCATCATCACAAGAGATATGAAGATGTTTATCAAACTTTGTGGCAAAAAACCCGTGTGCGGGTTTTCAATGATCTTTTGGACCATCTGAGTGGCTCTGATTTTGATTTTTTTGGGCAGATAAAAAGAAAACAGCTTTGAATGAGCACATTAAAATTTCTTTGAGGGGGTGAAGAGAGAGAAACCAAACATGATAACCAGTGATGAAATGTGTCTTCTAGTCCCAAGTACCACATGACGTAGCAAAGACGCTGGCAAACTAGTCCGAGAGGTTGCCAAGTGGTCGTGGTAACTTTTACGACGTCTTTACAACACAGCGAAGACGCAAAATATTTGCTGTTGCATCTTGGCAATTTGTCGATATCGCTGAAACGTCATGATATGACCGCTTTTAGACATGGTCGTTTTAGCATCTTTTTCATAGTTCATCAACGTTACTTTTAGAATGAAAAGAGACTAAATGTGCCCTTTCAAGAATCTGAAGTCCTCATAATATTTATTTTGCAATGTTTCATTACTTTATTTCATCTAAATATATTAATCTAAGGTAAGATTCATCTAATGAAATATAAATACCTGAATTATTCAATTTAATTAGTACTAAAAATACATGCTAAACTATTGTTTAAAATTTTGTTAAAATAATTAATATGCAAAATATTTTAAAATGAAACTAATCTATTAAGTTGTGCATTTCATATATTTAAAAAAATCATATTTCCAAAATCAATGCAAATCACATGTTAGCAATTATTTCACTGCTGAAATACGACTTTATTTATTATTTTTGAAGGACGAATTTATTCAAATTAATATGCTGACATAATATGAAACATTTTACCACATACAGAGCAAAAATTCATCATTCTTTTATTTGCATATCTTGGAGACATAGAAGTTAATGGTTGTACTTTTTACTACGAAATGCGAATAAATTTATACTCGAGTTCAGGTAAAATACTCATTATGTTACATTATGCTTCCTAATTTATCATGACGGGGGCAAATTTCATTGTCTCTGAGATTAAACAGAAATAAATGTGATAATACTGTTATAATCAGATACGCTCTTTTTTTCACCCACATATATTATATATAGCTTTACTTTTTATTTATGTCTCATTGAGTTTTATTTACTTAAAACCTACTATTATTGTTATATATTTATAATACCACTTTCATATAATTGCTCTCACTTACATACAAAAGGATTAAGGAAAAAAATGATGAAATCTTAAATAATTGTAACTTAGAATTTAAGTTATTTAAAAAATATAGTTTAAAGTACTGAAAATAATTAAGGCTATTATTAATTATGCATATTTAGTCTAAAGAGAAAAAATCATATTATCTTCTGTTTTTCAGGAAATGATAAAATATTTAAACTTTAGAAAAATACAAAGAATACAAAATTTTAAAACGGAAGAAAAGTACATTAATTATTAAGCTTATTTTTCGACATGAATCATTATGCAACACAAGGACATAATAATGATGTTTTCACAACTGTTGCAAAAAGGTAGAATTCTGCGAAGATTTAGGTGTTGTTAAGACGTCATGATACGATGCTTTCAGAACCAAAATATAACAAGATAGATGCAGTAACGACATCTATTCAACATAAACCTCATCTGCAAAGATGTATTAAAGACATCTTTGCAACGGTTGCAAAACAGTGGAGTTTCGCGGACATCTGGACGTCTTAAAGGTGACATATTGCAACATTTTTGCAACAACATCCCTGACGAGTTTGCAGCATTGTTAACGATGTTTCCGTGCTACTTAGGGTATGATCAAGGGATAAAAAGAGGAATTTCCGAGAGCATACTTGCCAACCTATGACACTCAAAAATCAGGAGATTTTTTTTAAGAAATCGGGAGATTTTTCACAATGTTAAAAAGACTTTTTAAATGATGAAAATATAGTTTTTAATAATGAATTAACTTTAAAAAGTAACTAATTCTTAAATGCAAGCAACACAAAAATACCTTACACATAAAAAACATTTTTATTACTTGCATCCTTTAAGAAAACTAACAAAAAAAAAAAAAAAAAAAAAAAACACTTTAATCAGTTTTCGTACAAATGTTATAAACAGTGGCAGATTTTGCTTTTTTTAAGAAAGAAATTTCATACTTTTGTTCCAATTGCCACCTAGGCCTGCTTTCGTTAATAAAAGTTTTTCTAATGTGTCATCACTAATTTAGATCTAAATTTAGTCCTCGTTTTCGCAACAACACTGAAAATCCTCTCACACTCCTGCATTACTAATGAGGGAACTGTCAAGATAGCCAACATAATTCTAGACAGTTCACTATATTTTAAAATTCCATCAGCATCTTTCGGTTTTCCAATTAAACTCCACTGGGTGTCAATCTTAGCTGATTTTATAACTTCATTCAAGTTTTCTAAATGTAAACTGCTGTTATGTAGCTGTTGGAAATGTTTCAATTTTTCCTTCCTTTTAGAACTCCTTTCAAGATAATAGTAAATATCAACAATGTGTTCATCCACATTTATTGGTAAAGAAGCTGCCCCTTTTTCAGCTGCTAAATTTAAGAGGTGACAGGCGCACCTCATAACCTGAAAATCTGAATTTTCCTTTCTCAAGATGCCTGCAACACCAGTCTTCAAGCCTACCAATACTGGTGCGTTATCGGCACCAAGTGCTAAGCAATTATCCAGAGGGACTGCATTCCCTTTTAAAGTTTTAATAATTAGCTGTGCTATAGTAAAGCCTGTCAAATGTCCTTCTAAAGTGGGGACAGAAAGTAAACTGCACTCATTTTCTGAAGACCCTGGATTAAAAAAAGAAACAACAAATGGATACAGTTTTGAATCGGTATTATTGCTTCCATCCGTAGAGAGGCAGAACGGAGCTGTTTTAATGCAAACAACAACTGAAGATTTATTTTTCAAATCCATTTCTTTAACAATTGCACCTGTTTTGGTTGTTGCACTTGAGTATTTCTTAGTGATTTCACTATCGACAAACATTTTTCTAAATAAAGCTGCAGTGTAATCCGATGCATTCAGTGGTAGGTTGTGCTCCAGTAAAAAGGGCAGAGAACAGACATTCTGCATTAATAACTTTTTGGTCATTTGTTCCTAGAGAAAAATTCAATTTTTCGCTTTTTTTTTCCAAAACTCATGTTGTCCTTGTGTTTTTGTGTACGCACATGTTTGAGAACTTCCACCATGCGAAATCGAAAAATCGCAATGACAGGCAGTACACATCGCAAATTTATTACATTTCCTTGAGGAAATAATGGAAGGAAAGTCAACTACGTACGATTTTTGAAACGTACATGAGTATTTCACCTTTCTCGCAGACATATCAAAAGATGATAATTTCTAAAACTATTTTCCGAAGGCACGTGTACTCGCACAACTCACGACAAAATGATCGAAATAACTAAAAAACAACCAAATAACAGCTTGCTTTGTCTTCATTGGTTAATATATTCTAGGTGACACGCAGTGGAGCACGATGCCCATTGGAGAATTGGAGAACGACACTGGATATGTATATGCTCTCACTCACAAAGCAGAAGTTATCTAATTCTCAAGGTTTTGTTTTAGATATAATCTAGAGAAAATTCAATTGCTTTCACACATCCAAAATCACTTTCTTTTTTGTTCATATAACAAAGCCAAGTTCCATAAAAATCATGAGAAACTTGAAGAATAAGAAAAAGTCGGGAGAAATATATTGTAAATCAGGTTGGCGGGAGAGCGGTCAAAAATCGGGAGTCTCCCGCCTAAATCGGGAGAGTTGGCAACTCCGTGAGAGGCATATCAGCAAGGCTTTTTACCTAGAAGCTTAAATGAGCAAATTGAAGATGAAATCAATACTCATTGGACTTTAACAGTTACATAGTCAAAACAGTGTGCACCAGATGGCCAAACAATCATTGGTACATATTATAGAGAAGTACTTAAACAGCAGAATAGAGTTGCACAGATTTGTTTAGAGATAGCCAACACCCGAGCTTTAACCTATGTTAATGTGTGAAACTACATGTCACTGATAGTCAAAAGTTTCAGATTAAACTTTGGCAACACTTCTCCAACCTCCAACAACTCAAAACTTGGTTCCAGCAGATGTTTGTTTCGCCAACTCAAATAACACCATTTTGGAACATTTAAATAAAGATCTCGGTTCCAAGACTTCTATGTGAGCTACAACATACAGCAGAAACACTGACAACGGTCATGCTCAAAGATGTTCTTTTAAAGAATTGTAAATGCATGCAAGTATACACAGAAATAAAATTTTTTTAAGAAATCGGTCTCACTATTTTCTGAAACGATCTAGCCAGTTTAAGTTTGGTATGGCAAAACTGTTCTTCTTGAACAGGAAATAGGCTGTTTCAGCTTTATAATAACTTCATTCACAAAAACATATAAAAGCATGCATATGACAACACTAGCATATAGTTTTGAAGACAGTTTTGCAAATTATGATTTCTACAACCCTGCAGAAGCCATGTAGCAACAGAGGTGGAGATAAGCAGCATACTAAAACAGGGACATCAACACTGTTCAAGAAATTGCAGGAACCACAAATCAAGAGAAATTCTTAATGTTGTGGGTCCTGCATAAGAGTGCTGCAACAATACAGTCATCAACTGCACTCCTTGCACTTGTTGCGATTACATTATATCCATAAGCGAGATGTTGGTTGGTTTACTTGATTATGATAAAGCACTCAAGAGCTATCTGCCTTAGTGCAGAGTAATGGCTTTGTGCAGAACTTTCCAAGGGAAACTGTCCCATACACGTTACATATGATGAAAATGCCCATGCAGCCAGCCCGATAGACGGGATTCAAACTACAGACCAAATTACCAGTGTTCAGCAACTTTGCATAAGCGGGAGGAATTTACTGTAAGAACACAGAGAAAAAAATTAACAATCTTCTGATATATGAAGCATGTATTTCATGGCAAAGAGCTACTAACACCCATAACTGTCAGATACAGGTTTTAAGGACAAAGATCATGCAAAGGAGCCATTATACCTGCCAGGACTTATTTTTTGGAGCAGTTTCAAAGCAACCTTACTTAAGTTGACTGTCTTTTGAAAAGCCAAGTGGAATAAGTAGCTGAAAAACATGTTCCAAAACAAGACAAAACTAGCTGAGTTATGTATGTATTTCATGGCAAAGAGCTACTAACACCCATAACTGTCAGATACAGGTTTTAAGGACAAAGATCATGCAAAGGAGCCATTATACCTGCCAGGACTTATTTTTTGGAGCAGTTTCAAAGCAACCTTACTTAAGTTGACTGTCTTTTGAAAAGCCAAGTGGAATAAGTAGCTGAAAAACATGTTCCAAAACAAGACAAAACTAGCTGAGTTATGTATGAAAATGCAAACAAAATTTTATGGTAGCAAAATCTGACAGACTATGAAGATAGTGCATTCCTTAACATCCCAAATGCTTTACAGCAGGTCTTTGTAAAGCAGTTACTTACAAAGGCAAATTATTACTGAACATGCTGTACTGCCTGGCTTGGATTGCTGTACTTGATGCCCATGATGCCTGTGGAGGTGCTTGATGGATCCATTGCGTACAGCAGTAACTCATTATCCCTATCACAATAAAAAGCTTCTATTGAATAAAATGGTTAATGATATGATCATCTGCTTAAGGAATTACATTTTTTGTGGTGGCATATATCAAGTGTGCAATCACCAAAGATCGTGATGTAAATCTGATGTTCAAAAACTTGATATATTCAAACAAGTTTATTTCTATGCTTACAGATGCATTACCTAAAAAAAAAGCTTAGCAACTAATCAAAAGTGGCTTAGAAAATAAAGCATCAGTATACATGAAACATGTAAAACTTAACAAAACATTATACAAGGTAACCAAAAACGTTCTTGCCATTTCTGATGGCACTGGAAGAGTGAAACCCAACATAAAAATAGCCTCATTGCATCAGTACTTCAACATGACTCACACAGCAAGTGATTGAAATGGATGCATCAAAGGCTCTCGTTCGGAGTTGTTTGCTGTATTTTAAAGTGGGCCTTGTCAGCAGCAGAATCAAGTCACCGAATTTGCCAGGCCATTGGGGATAATGCCATTAATGAATGAACTGCTAGGCAATGGTTCTAGAAGTTCAGGTCAGGGAATATGTCTTTTAGTGATGCACCATGCAGCGGTCGGCCACAAGCGCTGGATAATAAGGCCCTGACAGCATCCATAGAGTGACAGTAGCCAATTATGTGGTCAGCTGCTGCACATTTACAGGTACTTGATGAAACAATCAGACTCCACTTGAACTGCATAGGAAAGGCATACATGCTCAGCAAACTCACTCACTGTCTGATGCAAACAAGGAACAGCATGTCGTTACCTATTTGTCATTGCTCACTCAGTACCCCATTTGCACCACATAGGAAAGGCATACAAGCTGAGCAAACTCACTCACTGTCCGATGCAAACAAGGAACAGCATGTCGTTGCCTAATTGTCATTGCTTACTCGGGACCACAATGCATCCATATTTGATTGAGTACTCACCAGCGATGAAAAGTGGGTCTAGTAATACACACCCAGGCATTCCAGAAATTAGTTGTCACAATTGGATCCTGTGCCTCACACCGAAACCTCTCCACCTACGCAAGATCATGGCTCTGTATTTGGTGGACAAGTCACCAAGTGGTTCACTATGAGCTCCTGCCTGTGGGCTAAACTATCACGGCAGACCTGTACTCACAGCTGTTGGAATGTGTGCATCAGGCACTGATGCATAAAGATCCAGCATTGGTCAATTGTAAGGGTGTACTCTTCCTCCACGACAATGGGAGGCAGCACGTGGCTCGAGAGAGACCAGGGACACCATCCAGCAAATGAGCTGGAAGACACTACCCCATCCACCATACTCCCCAGACCTTGAACCAACAGACTAACTACCATGTTTTCCATTCCCTGGACAACAGTTATTAGTGGTGATTATTATTTGTTTTATGACTTTTCTTTCTGACTGTCCAAAACGGCAAGAACTTTTTTGGTTACCTTGCAATTACACAGAAAAAGATAAGTAACACATCTAAAACAACAGAATGGATAACACCAGAGAATTTTCACACTATTTCATGCAATGTTAAACAAATTAATATAAGATAAATACACATAGAAATGCATTGTTATATGTTAAAATTAGTACAACTGCAGGAAATGATGTAATCACTTACTTTATTTTCATCATTCTGTCTACCATATGATAAATTTCTTAATGCTCCACAAGCATTTCTTTGAATTTCAGGAATATCTTGATTGAGTAATTCAATTAAAGGTGTAATGCCTCCAAGGGATCTAGAAAATGCCAAAACATACACAGATGTCTACAGTTTCCTAAAGTCTGCAAATATACTTAAAAGTAAGATTAAGTAACAATTAGCAAATTACATGGAAACTCCTTAATAATATAGTAACCACATGTCATAGAAGAGAATCTTGAAATTCTTTTTAACAACTAACTAACAAAATTTACACATGTATAGAAGCTAAATAATCAAACTTCACATTAAAACCTCATATTATTTCCCTTTACCAAGAGTTGGATCAGGAAGTTCCCCCCCAAAAAAAAAATCAGCTATTTTTAAATGTATAACCTATTTTGAGAGAAAACTATATACATGGCTGAATCAGAAAAATCCTGGATTAGCTTACTATCATTCCAACAAAAGGCACCATAATGCTGCACTGGCAGCTACAGCAAATTTTGATCTTCATAAAGCAAAGCAATGCAACCATCAGCATGTAAACATAGTGAGTTGTTACAATGGTGTCTTTGTGATCACGCATATGTGACAGTTTTTGCAGAGAGAGATGGAAGAACCAACCAACATGATATTTTGTGTTAAACTGAGCTAAGTGGCCAGAGACACTAAACATGCTTTGAAAAGCTTACAATGTTTTGAGTTGTATGGATGTAATCAATGAGTTTATGCAGAGCCACAGGTACTTTAAAGATAAAAGAATGTCCCTTGTAGATTATAAACAATCTAGACATGTGTAATTAACTTGAGAACTTTTGCATGTACAAGGTTCATAGCCATATTTCAGTTAAAAAAGTAAGCACCTATAAAGCACTTTTCAAGCACATTAAAAAAAAAAATAAGCACCTGTCTAATTACATTATACACAACTGCATAACCTTAAAAATTAGACTCGTAATTTAAAATATATGAAATGCAGTATTTATTAAGAGAGAATAAGCATTACCTCAACCATGGAAAATAATTAGTTTTTCTTAAATTTTAAACAATAGTTCAATTTACAGAACTAGTTTACAATGAGAGAAAAAAAAAAAACTATGCAGAACTAAACTATATTACAAGATTTAATGATGAAATTTCAGTTCAAAATAGAGGAAATAAATAATAATAAGGCATATTTATTCTATTCGCTTGTAACTTAATAATAAATACAATTTATTTTTCCACTCATATTGAAATTTAATTTAAATCTAAATTCTGAACATTTTCTAAATTTTCATCGTATATCAGTTTTCCCTTAACAGACATTACAAGCAAAGTAATTTAAGTAAAAAAGAGGAACATTTCTGAAATCAGAAGACAGAAATTTGCTTCATGCAGTCATCCTTTAACAGCAAAGCTTAACTACCCGCATACTTGAAAATTGGCAAATATTCGGACAGTCGAGCGAAACGTGAAAAAGAGGAGCGGAGAGTGGGATAGACTGTAGCCGTTCTTTAGATTTTTCCGCTAAATAAATGCTTTTGACATTTTGATATGTGCATCATATAAAAACAAGCCAAAGGAACAGAAAAATATTCTGCTTTGCAAGCACAGTAAAATTCTTTTAAGTGTTCATAAACAAATCTCGGAGCGAATATCAAAATTAATTACCTCTGCAAAATATCGCAAACGTTACTGGGCAATACGTGCGTCGTAATTCTTCCCTACATGATATTACGCAATCGGATTCAACAGCTGCCGGTATTGGAATAAAGAACTAAATAAAGGAAAAGAAAGAGACTTACCAATCTGGAGTGTTTTTCATTCTAATTTTCAACGGACTGCGTTAAATTTCCGGAATAGAATCATTCTTTGCTTGGGTTGGTAGACCGCAGAACTTTTAGTCCTATTCAATGCAGATTGGAAAGTGACAAAAAAAAGGGGGTCTGTTGCTTGTTTTGCAGCGAACTGTAACAATTTCAATATTCGAGATTTTGAGCCGAAAAGAGAGAATCTTCCAACCTTCGTACTGTATAATGTATTGGCCAAAAAAAATGAAATTATTTTGACTATTCGATTACTTTCCCTTTATTTAAGCCATTTCGACTATTATCCCTTAGAAAGCTAATCTCTGTTAAAACACAACCATTTTTGGAAGTTTACTATACTTCAGCAGTTACTGCAACTATGTTATTATAAACATTCATATATATGCTCATCATATATGCCTAACGATCATAATAAACAAGGATATGAACTGACCAAGCGGAACGAGAATGCAAATTTTTAAGATCTTGATAGAAATTCAAACGTATTTGGGTGGGAGGAAAAGAATGCTGAATGTACCAGAATTTTCTACTGCTTTCACAATTCTTTGACCAACAGAATGATGGGCACCTGTCTGTACTCTGTGCGCACACCAAAGGTTATGTTTATGCAGAGAAAGGGGGGAAAAGCTATTTCCGGTAGTGATTCACCATATGACATTCCATATTAGGAAGAAAAGTTGTTTATTTAGTTTCGGCTTTGGTATGGGAAAACTGAGCGTTCATTAAAAAAAAAAAAAAAAAAAAAAAAAAAACAAAAAAAAAAAAAAAAAGTAAAAAAAATAAGCACTAAAAACAAAAAAATAAGGGCTTTAAAGAAAAAGTAAGCACCTATAAGGGCCTTTATATTTTATTTTCAAATATAAGGACTTATAAGCACTTATAAGGACCGCTACGAACCCTGATCTTTTAAATCATATTTTTTATAAGTTTGATTATGGTACAATCTATTTCTGTGACACAACATTAACTATCAACACAACCGCACATGACCAGCAGTGAAAGTGTTAAAGCATATTTACAATTCTGCATGTTAAATAGCATCCTAACATGTGAAGTAAATTACAGCATTAGATTTTCAGATAAACACAATGTGCCCATAAAAAATACTTCATAGCAATCTAAACAACATAACTATGATTAAAAAAAAGAAATTGTAAAAACTAGCAGAGAAAATTGCATTAGCTTTTTGATACAATTATGAACTAATGGAATTTTCTCTTTAGGAAATAGAAGACTCAATAGAGAGCATTCTATGAGAAACAGATTTGTACTAATTTTAAACATAGGTAAAATCACAAAAATACCCCGATAGCTAGCCTTTCCACTAGGATTTAAATCATGTGTATGTGGTCAACGAGTAACAGAAGATATCTCTTCACCTACTGGCGGGCCTCAACAAAAATGCATGATTAAGTTGGGCTAACTTGGAGCAATATGAATTGTAAGAAGAATGAAAGCATTTCACTTTTTAAGGTATCATGTAATTCTTATTTATACTTCAAATTTGTATTTGAAATTGCTTAAGCATGTTTTGATTCCACACGTTGAAAATGTTTGCCAATTTATGATAAATATTAAGAATTTGGAAAGCCCCCCCCTTTTTTTAAAGTTGCAAAGACCACGAATTTCCACGAAAGTGGTTGCATTAATACATAAGTACCAATGTCTTTAAATCAGTACTGAAAAAATTTCTTTATGAAATAGCGGGTTATTTAGAAATGATTTCATTTGGTTTTGAGGCCCTTTAATTTCCAAGTTAAGATCACAAGTATTTTTTATATTCATGTTATTAAAAAATATCTTAAATTGTTTAATTCACATACAAAATTTTTTGTGATATGTAGCTGAAATAAGTTTCCTTTTCAAAATGGTAATGGTTTACAGCAGAAATATTTTGTGCTTTTAGGATATCCAAAATACTCATCCACTGTTAGTGCAACATGCATTTTAAAGGTTGTGCAATACAAACCCACCAGCCACCAGAGCATTCTGCAATCAGCAGTTCAAGAATACCAACTTCCTGTATACATGGAAAAGTACTGAAATATCTCTTAAAGTATGTTTAAAAAAGGGGGGATGAATAATAACAACAACAATGTGGAATGAGAATGATATGGCAGCTCATCTTTCCAAATTAAAAAAAAAAGTATGGAATGAGTTGAATTCAGGACTTGAAAAGAAATATGAAAATTAATTGACATGCTACTCAATTGCAAGATATTAGATGTTTTACCAAAACATTACCATTCATTTAAATCAAGTTGGTTACTCTTGGGTGAAGAAAAGCAAACAGTTGATGAGTCAACAGCACAGCTTTGCTCTCATGAAAGAGCATTCAAGCCAAAATTTGACCAATAATAGTAAAGCAGTAGCAAGGCTGTCAAATGAAACATATCTTAATCTAATGTAGCACACAATCTCTCATCTAGAATTTGCCGTTGTGCACTTAACTTATAACCTGCTACCCATCTCCTCACTTAGCACAAAGCTGCAGATTTATGAAATGTAGGCTTGAAATTATGCACCTGTTTTGGCAACGGCATGCATTTTTATATTTATTATTCTAAAATTATGCTCAAATAAATATAATCTATGAAATCATCATGACTGCATCTTCACTAAAAAATTTCTCTATGCAACAACAGCCTTAGCTTTATGATCTTCTAATTTATGTTCTATGCCAGACTATATATCACATATTCTATTTTTGTAAACGTCTCGATAAAATTCCACCTATTAAATTTTAAATGAATATTAAAGTTTTATAATTTAACAAACTTTAAATTACGAAGACTAATAAAACAACTTTTAAATGCACAAAAAATAACTAACCTTGTCTTCTGCTTCATGTTATCATCCATATAACATAAATGCTGCAAATAGGCAGCAGCATTTGCTCTTACAACATTATTAGGGTGACCTAAGAACTCTATAACTTCATGAAGATCTGGATCTCGCCACCGGACATCTAGACAACAAACAGTAATTAGAACTTAAGCAAAGACAGTTCAACAACTAAATGGTTCTAGTTTTCAAACCAATAATTATTCCTTTAGTATCGACCGATTTCTTACCTGCACCTTGACTATCTACAGGTGCATACTCAAGGTGAGGATGCCGAGGAGGAACTGGATGTGTACCTTCACTACCAAGAGCTATAGGATCTTCTTCTTCATACCCAGACCTGGGAGCTCGTGCATATGCAGAATTTGGATGCTGACTTTGAGGAGTTCTTGTCTGGGGATGCTCATCATAACTTGGTCGACGATCTAAGTAACCTTGAGGTAGGCCAGGGTCATACTGGTGATAACCAGGTGAAGTTGCTGGAAGTGGTTGACCTGTGTACCCATATGTCCCTATAAAACAAATAACAAAAAAGGATACTTAATATTCTGATATTACACAGAAATCATACTTCATAGAAAACACAGTAAAAACTTCTCATAGTGGCACTTCATATTCACAGATAAAACATTAGTATCGAATGCTGACCAACAGTCACATTTTTAGCTTTCATATATTCAAATGGCTTGCATTTGGAATCAGAGGCCCAATTTGGCATAATCAAGTGTTTGTTGTGAGTACTATTATTAAAGCATCAATCCAGGAACTAAAATCTTGTTGTCAACACCAGACAGTTCATAAATTTGTTAGCCACTTCGAACTGTGGAGTTTCAAGCTATCCTTACCAACTTATTACTAGTAAAATTGCTGAGCAAAATGCAAGTGTCGATCAATTCTCTAACATTAAAAAAAAGGGGGGTAAGTTACTAGAAGTAAATTATGGTTCTGATCTGGCAGCGTGATAGTTTCACTTCAGACACCTTTTACTTAATAACAATATTTTTTTAGAAATTTCACAATAGAGTTTTAAAGCAAGTCTGTCTTTCAAATACCAAAAATCATTTGACAAAATATGATTAAACACACCAACTCTATCTGTTTGCACAGATGATATTTGTGGTGGCAGGAAACTTTTTTTAAACCCTGATATTTTATCCTCATAGATGTAGGTATTTCACAATGATAAATTTAGTCAAATTTCAAAATAAATTTAGTCAGTAGAAATTCACACCCAAATGTTATTGTGCATCACTGGATATTTACACATTCATTTTTTCTACTGCATGATAAATGCTTTTTTTTGTTCTTCTTTAGATTGAAAATATTCACTAGTGTGCAGGATGTGGTTGAAGCTTGTTTTCTAAGGAAATTGAAAATGATTTTATTGTACCACCTGAGGTAGATGAACTTAGACGCTCTATTTATAAGGGATATTGCTGAGAAAACTGAAGTAATATCAGTAGATGAGGAAGCTGAAAAAAAAAAAAAAAAAAAAAAAAAAGTTGCCTTCACCTTCTCAGATAAAGGTTCAAGAAAAAGGTAAAGTTAATAAAACAGTTCGAACAATGAAAATACTAAATTACACAAAAGGGACAGAATCAGAGAAAAGAATATAAAGACTATCTTAAGGCACTGGAAACCGACTTAGAAAATGCATTTCCAGTTGTGGATTTTAGAAATTTTAATTGCAGAATGGATAATTTGTTACACTAAAAATGACCATGATTTTAATATTACCACAAAAGATACATAGATATTCATAGAATTCTTCATTTTTCCAGCCATCTTAACCTTTCAAGTGAGAGAGATTACTGGAGTGAAGCAAAAGACTTAGGTATTAGGTTGTTTTAGAATGCTTACTTAAACTACTTGAAACTAACTAAAAACTTTCAGAACAATACTAAAGGCTCTGAAAACTAGCATGACAATCTACACCTCTCACATTTTATATAAAGTACAATACCACTTTATGTAAAAAATTGTTTTACAAAATTTCATGCAAAGTTGGAGATATTACATTTTATTAGTATTATATCCATTCAATATGTGTTTTCAGTTGCTGTAATTTACATAGATTTGAGGGCTTTGTTTGCATTTTCTCTCATTTTATTTCTTTTAAAAGTTACAGTAAAAAAGCTATATTTTAAGTGCTGCACTAATTATATTAATATTGCAAAAGTTATTTTTCATATATTTCTAAGTATTTTGAAATATATGAAAGTTTCAGAGTGGTGTATATTTCTTCCTTTCTAAACATTTTTTTGAAGTACTACGAATTCTGTGTTCTATACAGGGTGATTTGTTACCAGATCGACAAACTTGCAGGGTGTGTACGTGGTACACTGAGGACTCGGAATCATATAGGAATGCAGGGTTGCAAATGCTGTAGTAGCAAGCTATGGGTCTATGAAGCAGAGAAACAGAGAAGAAACAACAATACATTAGGTTGTACTACAACATGTGTTTGAAATTATGACCAGAAATCATTTGGCAGTTGATTCCTTAAGTATATTCTGGAAGTTTCCTGGTATGTCATGCATCTCTCAGTAGCTATGGATATTTGAGCGACAAGGTCTTCAATGGAAGGAACAGGCATCCTCATATACCCAACTCTTTATGTGATGCCAGAAGTCCATGTATGATAGGTCCAGTGATCTGGCAGGCCAATGAACCAGGCAGCATGACCTATCCACATGCTGTCCAAAGGTTATGTCATGGTGTCGGTGGACGTCAATCGTGTTATGTGGATGAGCCTCGTCAGGCTGGTATCACATGGAGTGGTGCAACGACGGAGGAACACGTGCTGCATCAAGAAGATCAGATATGCCCTACCATCCAAAGGACTGGGCAAAAAGTACTGTCCAATGAGGTAGTCTCCAAGAATGCCAGCCCAAGCATTGACAGAGAAATGCTCTTGAGCTGCACCTGGCTGTGTATGATGAGGGTTCTCCAAAGCGCACACATGGGTATTATGCTGATTGAAAGCTCCCTCCCGTGTGAAGTATGCTTGATCCGTGAAGAATACAGACACAGCAAATGCACTGTCTGTAGCACTCTGTTGCAGGAATCATGGAGCAAATGTCCTCCAGAGTTGATAATCCTCAGGCTCTAACTGTGTGATGACGGTGGTATGCGCTCATTTGGTTTCTGGGAATATCCTCCAGATAATGGATTGAGATAAACACACTTGTTGGGCTATCGCTCGAGTACTTAGACTGTCTTTTGCTACATGCAAGACTGCCTCCTCATTCGCTGCCAATTTATTGTAGCTCTTGTTAAACAACTAGTCTCTTGTAACCTTCTGTTGACACTTGCAAAGGTCATGCAATGTGAAGCAGGCCTATTTGGTAATGTTCCTGGTACAACCGCTTAGCGGCATGCCCATTACAACTTGAAGCTCCCTAGACGATCAGCATGTCGACCAGTTAATCGTTTGAATACACGTTCATCCAACTACCTCAAGAAATGGATTGCAAATGATGACTTCCAGCAGGATCGCTGTTCACCCAACCTTCTGTTCAGTGCCATCTACTGCAAGACCGTTGTCAGGCCTGTTCAGACTTACCTATACTACCCATCACACATACACTTAGACCCATGTAATAACATAAAGCCTTACAAAGTTTTCAGAAAGGTCCTGACACCTTAGTGTTGCCCTAGTACCTTCCGTCAGAATCACCAAGTTGGTACATTTTTCGAGGGAAAACTAAGCTCAAGTGACTGCAGAGATACAATTTTTATTTCCATGACTAATTTTACGATATTGAGTAGCTTGCTTTTAGCCACATTATCTTACTTCTGCATTTCCTTATTGACAAAAGACAAGTTTCACTTAATGATATCTGTGAATGTGATAACTATATGAAAAAACCTGCATGGCATATTTAAATTCAAAAAGGAAATGAACTTTCAGAACATGGCTGAATCAAATAATAAATACATGCCATATTTTTTCATTGTAAAGTATAAAAATTAACAAAAGATATGGTCAGATTTGCTAACTTCACTCTAATTTTGTAGGTAACTCCTTGCAACAAAAAATTGATAGCTGACACATTTTTTAAGTGCATATTTTGTTTGGCCAATTCTACGATTTTTAAGAAAGCTCTTTTAAAGTTTGCATAGCATTTCAGAGCGGTAAATAATAAACACATACATGTGTAAAAAAATGTACACATTTATTTGTTACAAGTATTTCACTGAAATGATGAATATCTCTATTCTTTCCACATAAACTATACTTCACAGCAATTTTATAGGGATAACAGTAAGTACATCAAGTAAAAATAATTAAATACCATATAAAAATTATTATTTGTACAATTACTATTAAGAACATTAAAATTGATCTACATACAGGATGACCCAAAAGTCCTCTCGGAATAATGTAGGTAGAGGTAAAATTTGACACACATGCTTGAAATGAAAAGGGGTTTTAATGGGGGGGATGCCTTGAAATGACATGGGGTTTTACTGAGAAAAATAAAAGCAAACATATGGCACTGGGTAGCAAAATATCACTGATGTCACATGAGAATCAATTACGAAATGAATTATAGTGTGAGAGGAAATCAGTCCTTCCATGACTATCCTCGCCTCCTATTCTTCACTGTGTGATGTGGATTTATCACATCAATCGTGATTGGACCCTTTTCCTTTGAGAAAACGTGTGGTTCTTCTAAACTGTCAATGTGACAGGTGCGATGATATGTTACAGAATTGAATTATCCCTAAACTGGCTGAGAAACACCTGTTGGAAGGTATGACTTTTATGCAAGATGGTGCTCCATTCCATATTGCTACACGTGTGAAAGATCTTTTGCACACATCACTCAGTGAGGATCGTGTGCTGAGCAATCACTTCCATCATGTTTGTCCTCTCAGGTCCCCAGATCTCAATTCGTGTTGTGGGGTTGCCCGATATCGCAAGTCTACTACAATCGCCCGATCTCATTAGGGATGCTAAAAGACAACATCTGATGGCAATTTCTCACCATATGCTGTACATATGGTGAAAAATTGCCATCACATGTTGAGTCAATGGTGATGTTGCGATCATTGTTCACAATATCGCCCATTGACTACAGGTATTGTTGATGAATGACGGCTGACATGTTGAACATTTGTTATAAAGAATATAGTCAGGTAAAAATCAATTGTTACGCTAAATATTGCTTTTGTTATCATATGAAGCACCATCTGTTGGCCATTTTAAGCATTTTTTTTCATTCAATACAACCCCATGACATTTCAAGCATGTCTGTCAGTTTTTACCTCTCTACCTACATTATTTAGTGAATTATTAAATTTTGAAATGTTAATGGAATTTGGGGTCACTCTGTAAATTTTTAATGGAAATACAATAATTAAATAAATATAGTTTTTTTCCATTGCATGAGGACATGGCAGTAAAATTTTTCTGAATATGACAATTTTTTAGGTGTGTTATTTGAATTTAAAAAAAAGCAACTAAAACAAAATGGCATGTTAGAAACATTTTAATAACAATATTTACTTTGAAAACAAAAATGTTATAAACAGCATTATTAATTTTATATGTGGCCAATAGGTAACAATGGCTACGAAGATCTGTTCCAAAGGAGTTTTATCCTTATTCTGGTGTTTCCATATCAATTTAAATACACATTAAATAAAGCATAACTACAAGTAACATAATATACTTGCTTTTACAGAAAATTAACATGTGTTGTCCAAAAATAGAACGATACGGATAAAATAATGTTATTTAAGATAACTGATCAAAATTATTTTTAATGAATATATATGTTCAATTAGTAATTTATATAAATACATTAGAAGATGCTGGAGAACCTTACCATATCTATCAGCACTTTGTGTAGGAGATGGAGTCCTTCGATAATCCATCCTTGGCGGTACAAGTGCTGCAGCATCAATGTCTTCATAATTGCCAGGCTGGTGATTATAATCTGACGAGACTGCACGTGGAGCTTGAGGCATAGCTCGATGCAGATTAGGTGAATCTGATGCACCAGAAGGAGTAGTTACATTTTGTGGTGGATAATCTCGATAGCCATATTCTGAATATGGTTGGCCAGACTGGGGAGAGTAAATATCAAAATTCCTACCAGCAGAAGCTGGTGAGGCAGTTTGTCCGTATGTGCCATAATCATGTGGATAGACTTGTGTTGGTGTTTGACCAGCTGGACTTGGAGGCCGACCTGATGAAAAGTAAAAAGGGAGTAAGGCAAACATTTACAATGTACACACAGAATTTTTACTTCTCCAGCCATTATGGTCATTCTGATATATTTACTGCTTTTCATGTGACTTAACAGTTAATTACTAGTCAATATCCCGAGTATCACTGTTCACTGTATGAGGTTTTCATGTATAAAAAAACAAGTCGGTTTCCATAAAAAGTCTCCCAGGAATACCTCCCCTTGTATTAGGCAGATAGTTTCCTGACAAAAGTTTAGAGAAGTCTGTACAGTTATGACTGCACACATAAATGAAGGTACACAGTTGTTATCAATGTAGATTGTAAGTATAAAATATATTTATGCTTGTAATTATACTAAATGGAGTATTTGAGTCTGAAAGGACTGATGCTTAAGTGTCAAAAATATATCTGGTGTATGGGTCAGACAGAACTCTTACTCATCTAAGAACTAACATGATATTTGAAGAGTGTGTTTAATTGAAGTGAGTGAAGAAAATGCGAGTAGTTTTGCTACTAAAATTTTACAAGAAAATGAGATTCCAATAAACTTCATTACCAGTCTTCTAGACAAAGCTGCAGCAGTCAATAACCTACAAAATTTTTTAAAGTAATGATATTTTTATCTGAAAGCTCTAACAGAGAAGGATAAGAATGAAGTTTTAGAAGATTTCATAGTATATCATAGTATTATATATATATATGTATATAATTAGTAACGCTGTAGTGTAGATTTTCTTGATTATACTTTTATTAACAGAAGGCCTACTCTATTCTAAATCATCATGATAGGCACATAGTGAGAAGACATTATTCTATTCTAACATTTCCTTTTTCTTATGCTTTGCTTTCCAAATTTAAAAAATAAAAATTACTAGCTTTTAATTCATCATTTGGGTGATTTATGCTTACAATCGGCAACTAGTTTCACCAACAACGCCAAACTGGCAATGCAACTATTGGAGTCCTCTTTTGAATTTCGATCCTTTTTTCTTCATTGACATAACGGTAGGCTGTGGTGCTTCGAGTTCTCTGTTAGTTTTTATATATATTTTATAATTACTTTTTATTTACATTCGTTTCAGTAAAATATATATTTAATTATTATTCTTTTCCTATATCGGACATTAATACATAAAGATTTGTTTTTGTACTATTTCATTACATTCGGGAATCAACTGCATCGAGGAGGGATTCAGAGTTTACGGGTGAACTCTTAAAATTAATTAATTTAGAATGGTTCATCAGCTAATTCTGGATTAACACACAGTGATTTTCCAAAAGGAGACTGGTTAAACTGAATCTGATTTACATCCTCTCGATAACTTTGCATTAGATTTTAACTGCATTTCTCTGCGTACATAATTTTTTTGTTATTTTTGTATTTCCTTTCTCTGTATTTCTACTGGTTTGATGACTATTGGTTAAGTTTATATATTTATGGAGAAATTTGGATTTAACCGTCAATTATTTCTTTCATGTCTGTGGATTTGCCTCTAAATTTCTTTCGTCTCTATATTTGTATATATATGCACACACACATGCATACATCTGTACATTTATTGTTTTTATCACGTTAAATTTATAACACAACTATTTAACATGAATCTTCTGTAAAAAATTTTACTTCCCCCCCCCTCCAACTGACCATTTATGATAAGAAATTTAGTTAGGTTTTTGAAACCGACAATTAGTATTTGGCATAATAGTTGTTTTTATATTAAACTGAGAAAAACCTATTACAAACTAAAATTACAGATAACAACTTCTAGTTTCTGATAAAGGAAACTCTTATAAACTAACCCTTTAAGAAAATTCAATTTTTGTTACTTAAAACACTAAATAAATGCAACTTTTACCACATCACTTTGAAATTACTTAACATTTTTTTCTCCTAGGCCAAAACTGAACATTACTTCATGTAATGGAAATTTTGAAGAATTTGCTTTATATAAACTGCATATTATTTTGTGTCTAGCATATACATCCTTGTCAGCTTTTATCAGTCTGGGCTTTTACTTAAGAGAATTTATCATATGAGCAGTCATGACTGTGTGGTTTTGCCTATGGACTTTTACCTGGTCACTTATGCAGACAGGCTTACTTTCCTGTATCATATTCAAATAATCCAATATGTTTCTTATAATCGTTGGTTTACAGTGCCCAGTATGTTAAGACAATTACCCAACACTTTAATAAGAAAAATTACAAATTTTTAAGTGGTATTGTTGAAGTGTCAGGTACACAAACATCAAATTTTTTACTTTAATTTACTTTGGAAATATGATGCCTATCTTAATATCTTTATTACTTTTAGAGAAGTATGAAGTATACTTTATGTACATTCAATCTTTAACTAATTTCACGTTTCCAAACTGCTTGCATATGTATATATATATAATTTTTTATTAATAGCTAAGATCTAACTACAAGAATCACAAATTTTTTTTCAGGTTTAAGGTAAAGTACATTAAAATGCTGAAAAGGTTTTACAAACTTATTAACTGAAGACCAAAAATGAAATTTATAATAAATAATCGTAATTAAGGATTTTTGTTACATGTTGTTCAATGAATAGCAGGCAGGTTTTAATATATATAAGAAATTACTTTACTCGGCTTTTATGTGCAGTATGCAACGAAAAGTCACTTTTTTATATACACTAAATGAAAAGTATGTTAAGCTGCCTTTGTCCTAAAAGAAGAAACTAAAGGTAAGTGAATCAAGAAGCATCCAATATGAATAAAACATGAAACGTATTTTCAAAACTGCATTTTCTTTTTATTTTTAAAATTTCACACTGATAATTGCAGATTTCTTAGTAATAAATTTTTTGGTACCTTCTAACTGCAATTTCTTTAATATTGCCACAGAAATACTAAACACATTTCCAATACTTATACAAACGATTATTTTTAAAAATAATATAGCAGAATTTCTTTTTAAATTGTAGAAATAATAAAAAATATAAAACACAATAAGAATTTTTATAATTGCAAATGAAAGCTTTATTGCTTTTCAAATTATTGCTCAATTTGTGTCTTTAAAAATTATTGTCTCGTATGTTTCTTAGATCTTTATAAATATGAATGTTTGAATTTAGTTTTTATTATTATATTTACGTATGTTTTGATTTTCATTGCTGAATTTTTTTACATATTCATTACAACAAAATTCATTATACATGAAAATGGATTTCCATCATATGTTGTTCTGCTTGGGGGGAGAGAATATAAAAATCTAGAATAACCAATTATTTGGATGCATAGCTATCATATTTTATTATATCTTACAGACATATATAAATGTGAGAATAAAATTAGTAGTGTACCATTTACAGATGCAAAATAAAATTAAACATAAAAAATAACTGATTAAGCACTTAATCCTCATAAAAACTGCTACTAATGTCTAAGCAGATCGAAACACCTCAGATCTTTAAAAGCTTATAAAACCTGGTGAAAATCATTAGAAGTGGGGGATGGAATTTGCATGTTTCATTACGAGATGACAATACTGTTGTAGTTCCTTTAATAATATGTCAATCATAATATTCTTTTCCTCTGACGTTTAATGATTTTTCTTGAGGTGCATTTGAAAGAAGATGTAAATTCTGTTCTCATTTTCCTCACTTGAATGAATATCCACTCATATTCAAGCATTACTAAAAGAAAATAGTCAAAACTGATAGTGCAGTGTATGACAGTCACAAATATTTTTCCATACAGCAACCATTCCAGAGTTTTGAAATAAAGCCTCACTACTTATTAATATATTTTTCTTATAGAATTCTGCGAGATCTTTAAACTAAAAGTAAAAAAATTCTGCTTGAAATTTATAAACAGCACTAACCTTAGTGTTACTTCCAGCTCTATTTCAGAATTGTATTTCATGGGGAAAAGATCATACTCTTTTCAATAATAGCAAAATCGGAGATTAACAATTAAAATACATGAGATTCAGTATCTATCAGCCTACAAGGAGACTATGAAAAACTGGGGCAGTTGGCAGCTACACAAATGCTAAGGAACAGAGATATTTTTTGGAACAATTAACAGACATTTTCTGAAGAAACAAAACTTGGCATATATTTATTAAAAGCATTGTGCATTCTTAAAAGTACAAAATGGTGCATACTTGACATGGGGAAAAAAAGCAAAAACTATGCATGTCAGAACAGTTTTAGAGTCATGGAATACACTCCATTTTCACAGTAGAGATGACAGATACTAGATACCTCAATAGGCATTTTCTTCTTGGATACTAACACATTTATATCTCATGCATGCACTCTACTAAACTGTTCAGGATATTATGGAGAATATTGTCCCATTCATAATTGAAGGTGATTTTGAGTTCCTGTTTAGCTCAGGCAGGATGATTTCTTTGTCCCAGGCATTTTCTACAGGATTCAAGTCAGGTGACTGCATCAGCCAGTCTATGTTTTAGACTCTACCTTTAGAGGATCTCGGATACCACCCCTACCCTGTGTGGGCATGCACTGCAATTGACCTATTGAAGCACTGACAAGATAAACATAGCAATGCCAGGATGATCAAAGTGAAAATGCCTTTGTGTATGTGCAAAAGCACATACACAATGACACCTTGGCCATAAAAATCAGCTTCACAGATATTCAGTAACTGATATCACATTCCCTTTTCACTCTACACTGCTGATATATAATAGAATGGACATGAAGCTGTTTGTTATGGCAGAGGAATCACTGTATGTGGGTATGTTGTTTCTGTTACACGCAACTGTTTTACCTGATGTGCTAACTATGGAGTACTAAAAACAGACTTAACAGAAGAAAAATGACATTCATGCAGGGCACACAATCTGCTGTCAGTAACTAGCAATACAACACGATTATTTGCGTAGGGTTCAATTATTTGGTGCCCTTCATTTACTGCGAATTATAAATGCTCAGAAAGTATTTTAAAGATTAATTATCCACTATTTACAATTTTCCATTATTTACAGCCTCAGCATTTTTTTTTTTTTTTTTTCCAATTCATGGTTACATGTACAAGTGAGATCCACATAACTTGCAATGTTTTTCCCTCATGAGTTTCAGTTTTAGGATTTGGAATAAGATGTAACACTATACTCTAAGCAGATATTTTCAAATTTTTATGATTGCTTGGTATGCCTAATACCATTATATAAATACCTTCATTCAAAACATACACAGAAATTGATTTCTTTAGTTATCAAACTACTCTCAGTTTAAGTCTGTCCTGGTATGAATTATGTAATTTAAATACATGCATAAAGAAATTGATGAAATCATCTGAAATTAAAAAACAAAATAATTTTAGTACCTGGATCATAAGTACCATAATCATGAGAAACATTAGCAGGATTTGTGTAATTGTATGGCAAATAATCACTGCCAGGAGGCAAAGTTCCACCATAAGGAGAGTAACTTATAGGCTTGCCATCAGGTCCTATGTGATGAACTTCTCTTGTCTTAATTATCTTTGTTACAGTTTTCACCTGAAATAATGAAAATTATATACACATATAAAAGCATTTAATATAAATATCATATAAAATAATATTTATATCATCATTTAATATAAATATCTTATAAAAATAAACAGGATATTTAGATATTTAAGACAAGATTTTTCTAATTAACTCTTAAATGTTAACAATCAGTCAAAATGAGGAACACTGCAATAATAACATACATGGCACTTCTTTCTTGAAATACAGCACACAAATTTATATTTTAATTTATGAGGTCATAATTACTGAATTAACTTTATAATTACTTAAATGATTAATAATTTTATAAATAAGAGTTATGCTTATAATTCTTGCTGAAAATGAAGATCTACTTCAAGGAAACATACTGTACAACAATATCTCACAAGAAAAGTCACCAAGCAAAATGTGATGCTTGGATACCTAGGACCTGCATCATAACCAGTAATAAGTAGTAATATATTACTACTTTATAAGAAAACTACTTTAAATACTTGCTTGCTGAGTTTTTGTCTGAGATGTACTTCGACTAATTAATGATGCATTATCAACAGGAACAGAAGACTGGGAATTATTTGATGAAGCATCGCCATCTCCCCCATGATGACCATTAGTAGAAGTTGATGTTTGGTAGCTCATACTGTACGATTCTTGTACTTCAGGGATTCCTTCCTGCCTGAAATTATTTTTAATATAATAGAAACTTTAGATTCAAATAAATTCAATAATTAAAGTACATTAATTTTAATAAAATTTAATGCTTTTACAAAAGTAAAGGGATAAATGGCAATTGTGGCTTAACTCAAAGCAGGAGTCTAATATTAAAAGTTGTCAATAAGCATCAGCTTTCTTATTGCTACCATGAGGTTAACCTCTCGTTTGAAATTCAAAAATAAATAATGTCCACCAGAGCTCAACAGCCCCAAAGATAAAAT